TTTTTTTTTTTTTTTTTTTTTTTTCCTTTTTTTTTTTATTTATATTTTTCTTACGAGCCGTCGAAGGCGAAAGCACGCGTTGAGTTTGTGGTGTATCGACGGACTGCCAGCTTCAAAACATTTGTGGTTAGAGAAACCCCGATGGGTAGAAGAAACAACAAAGTTGAATAAAGAGTAGCTAGATCTGTTGCAAAGACCAAGACGAGGCGAGCAAAGAAAGAAGTAGCTGTGCCGAGAAGAAGAGAATTCCTTATACCTAAATTATCTATTAAAGGACCGAAAAAAACCCCAAAAAATAAACTCATTAAGCCGTATAAACCATAAACCCAGCTCGCTGCCACATCATTCAAGCCGAAACACATACTCAAATACAACACAAATACGTAATCTAACGCGAAAGTACTGAAGGAATCAGCATATTCGCAGGCGTATATTAAACATAATTCACGAGGAGAGTTTAATAAACACCTTATTTGATGAAACATCTCAAAAAAAATACAAAAAAAATACAGCTTTCCGTTGTATACGATCTCGGTCGAGTCTGTGCGGTGACTGCTGTGCAACTTGCATGAAATTCTGCGGTGTATGTACACCGCAGAAACTGCGCTTTCTTTAGACAGAATCCTGCGTGTTTCAGTTTTTAAATATTAAAATTTTCTTACAAAACCAAATGCTTTTTGTTTTATTAGGTTTTTTGAGTTTATTTTCTCTTTTTTTCTTCTCTGTCTCACCAGTGACACCATCGCAACTGCCGACGTGGCCGCGAACATGCCCGATTACCTCTTAGCTTTCCGCCATTTGTGGGTGTTTTTCTCCATTTAAATTGATTTTTTTGGTGTTTATTAGTTATTATTTTTCATTTTAAGATTAAAAAATACCTTTTAAACGGCTGTTTCCCGCCTATTCCCCTCGTCGACCGCGGAGCTCCTGCGCGTGCAGAATTTCGGCGGCGGCGGCGGCGGGCAGTCGCTTTCATCTCTTTTCTTTTGCGTGTGTCCTGAAGATACAAATCCTTCTTTGTAAGAATCTTGTTATGCATGCAAATTTAATTTAATTTATTTAAACCCTGAACACAACAGCCCCATATAGAATCTATGGACCGCAGCGAAGAAGCAGAACCACCCACTGCAACACACCAAGATGAAATTCAAGTTTCATCGACGCCCGCTTCATCCCCTCTATCAAAGGCAGCGGACTCTGCCGAGCATACAGCAGCAGCAGCAGCAGCAGCAGCTGCTGCTGCTGCTGCTGCTGCTGCTGCTGATAGAAGAGATGAATTCGATTTGTCTGTGAGCGGCGCCAGCGGGAACCAGCAGCAAACGGAGACAACAGAGAATACACCAGAAGAAAACAAAGAAGAGCTGCATGCAGCTCTGCCCCAAACAGAAGAAAGCAGAGGCGTAGCCCAAGCTTATCACCTCGGTGAGCTCAAGACCTTCCAGCTGCTGTCGCTTCTGCTGCAGTTGCTGCTGCAGTTGCTGCTGCAGCTGCTGCTGTAGTTGCTGCTACAGCTGCTGCTGCAGTTGCTGCTGCAGTTGCTGCTGCAGTTGCTGCTGCAGTTGCTGCTGCAGTTGTTGCTACAGTTGCTGCTGCAGTTGCTGCTGCAGTTGCTGTTGCTGCAGTTGCTGCTGCTGTAGCTGCTACTACTGCTGCTGTTGCTGCAGCATCTACTAGGTCTTATTGCTTGTATGCGTGTCTGTATATGTTCTGTAGTTATTTAAATTATTTTTTGTTTTTATTTTTCTGTTTATAGATAAACTGAAGAGCGGGCCCCCTGCATCGCGGGGTGTATATGCAGCTGCCTGTACACCGCAGCGGCGGCGTCGATCGGAGGGCGATATATATTTAGATGGCGACGAAGAAGCTTCACTGAATAAAAATAAAAATAATAATTTTAATAATAATAAAAATAATAATTTTAATTATAATTATAATATTTATAATTATAATTCTGGTGCAGCAGAAGAAACAGAAAACGCAGCACGCAGACAGCCGTCGCGGGTGTCGCTGCTGAGGAGTTTCTTTGAACGCCAAATAGACAGCAGACGAGCAAGAGAGCAGCTGCAGCAGCAGCAGCAGCAGCAGCAGCATCGGCAGCTGCAGCAGCACCAACACCAGCATCGACAGCTGCAGCAGCTGCATAGACAGCAGCAGCAGCAGCAGCAGCAGCAGCAGCAGCAGGAGCATCACCAGCAGCAGCTGGAGCATCACCAGCAGAGCGATAGACGGCAGGAGACACACCAACAAGAACACGAGCAGCAGCAGCAGCAGCAGCAGCAGCAGCAGCATCTACAGCAGCAGCATCACCAGCAACTGCAGCATCACCAGCAGCAGCAGCATCAGCAGGAGCACCTGCATCAGCAGGAGCAGCAGCAGCAGCAGCAGCAGCAGGAGCACGAGCAGCAGCAGGAGCACGAGCAGCAGGAGCAGCAGCAGGAGCAAGAGCAGCAGCAGCAGCAGCAGCAGCAGGAGGAAGGTGTTGGTTGTTTGCCTCTGAATCGAAGCAGAGAATGTAAAGCAGCAGCAGGTCGATTAGCTGCAGCAAAAATACAGCTCAGCGCCATCGATATCGCCGCCAGGTACGGCAGGCCCTACAGGCCCCCGCATGCATACACTCCAACAGCAGCAGCAGCAGCAGCAGCAGCAGATGCAGCAGGAGATGCAGCAGCAGCAGGAGTTGGTGGGGTAGCAGCAGGAGGAGCAGCAACAGAAACAGCAGCAACAGCAGCAGCAGAAGATAGAGAAACAGATGGTGGGGAGCAGCAAGCACAACAAACGCATGCAAATGCTGCTGCACTTGCTGCTGCTGCTGCTGCTGCTGCTGGTACTCCTGCAGCAGCAGCAG